TCAACGCCGCCAAGCAGCTCAACAAGACGCGCGAGTGGGTTTGGGGCCAGTTAGCATCGTTCATGATGCAGATGAGGCCTGACGTGAAGGCGATGGTCGAAGCCTCAGACCGAGAAGAAGAGCAGCCTGCGTAGGAATCGTACGTGGTGCTGATGAATGGTAATGCACATGCCTATGGCCATACTGATGGTGAGGGAGTGTTGAGTCTAGTTGTGGTGTTTGTGGTGTTGCTGATGCTGACGATGACGATGATGAGGAGGAGACGGACCTGGAGGCTCAACCACCTTTGTATACCCAGCATGTGTGCAATGCCTGTGAGCATGGCGGGAGAAATTATACAGTTGAGGTCGAACCCATGTGTGAAATTACTTGTGCTTCTCACCGGGGACGAGGGACGGGGGAGGGGAGAATGAGGATGGAGAGGATAGGAGGAGCATAAGAGGAGGACGGTAAGCAATTGGAGGACGAGTCTTTGGTGGGCCCCTCGAGTTGTCCCCCCCTAGCAGTGCTTGTGCTGAAGGCTCCCTCGCAGAAAACTTCTGGATTTGGCAGGCAGGTGATCGGGTTCCTGGTTTCCTTGGTTCCCGAGGTTGGAAGGATCGAGGGGAGTATAGGGTGCAGGGTACATACTACAACTGGAGAGGGGGGCAATAGAGAGGAGAGAGTGACTCATGGAGATTGGAACGCATCGGATAGCGAGTATGATGCCGAGTGTAGAGCTTACAGAGTACGTGGCAATGATGACCACATTCGTCGTTCTGTGCTGGCGCGGGCTGGATAATGATGCGGATGGTGGTGGCGGCGGTGATGATGATTATGCTGAGGATGGTGATGCCGATGGTGATGCCGAGGGGGATGCTGCTGATGGTGATGATGATGGTGATGCCGATGGCGATGGTGATGATGCTGATGATGGTGGTGATCATGATGCCACTGATGATGCTCGTGCTGCTGCTGCTGCTGCTGATGATGATAGTGATGACGGTGATGTCGATGGCGATGGTCATGCTGATGATGGTGATGCTGATGATGATGATGATGATGATGACGGTGACGATAATGCCGAGGATGGTGACGATGATGCTGCTCGTAAGGCTGGTGGTGATGATGCAAATTTGCTACTGGAGATGATGATGACGATGGTGATGGTGACCATGATGCTGCTGCTGCTGATGATGGTGATGATGCTGATGCTGCCGCCGCTGATGCTGCTGATGATGCCGTTGCTGGTGCTGTTGTTGCTAATGAAAATACTGATGTTGATGATGCTGATGCTGCTGCTGATGATGACGACGACGATGATGATGATGACGATGATGATGATGATGGTGATGATGATGCTGATGATGATGAGGATTCTGATGATCATGACGATTATGATGATGATTATGCTGATGACGTGTATGATGATGATGACGATGCTGATGCTGATGCTGATGCTGATGCTGATGCTACTGCTGCTGATGATGATGCTGGTGGTGGTGATGATGATGCTGACGACGATGATGAAGATACTGAGGATGAGGATGATGCTACTGATGAGACTGCTGACGATGATGATGGTCAGGATGCTGATTGTGATGATGATGATGATGCTGATGATGATGATGCTACTGATGATGCTGATGATGATGGTCAAGATGATGATGGCGATGATGATGATCCTGATGATGATGGTGATGATGATAATGCTACGGATGATGCTGCTGATGATGATGCTGATGATGATGATGGTCAGGATGATGATGGTGATGATGATGCTGATGATCCTAGTTATGATGATGCTGATGCTAATGATGCTGATGCTGAGGCTGATGCTGATGCTGCTGCTGCTGCTGATAAGATGATGCGGATGATGATGATGATGATGATGATGATGATGATGATGATGATGATGATGATGCTGATGGTGATGATGATGGTATGGTGATGATGCTGATGATGATGATGGTGGTGGTGGTGATGATGATGATGATGATGATTATGATGATGATGATGATGATGATGATGATGATGATGATGATGATGATGATGAGTATGCTGCTGCTGCTGATGATGATGATGATGATGATGAGAATGATGACGTTGTTGTTCCTGTGGTTGGGCCTTAGGGTCAGCGACGCCGATGGCCTAGGCTGAGCCCACAGTCCTTCTCTCCGGATTTCCTCTCCGGCAGGACTGCGCTTTCAGCCCTGAAGACCGACTCCCGTCTAGAGGCGGCGAAAATGGCGACGCACATTGCGCTAGACCTGGGAGCCGACCGACACATCATCCGAACTCGGAGGGGGATTCCCTTTGGAAGCTGCACTGTACACAAAGAGAACATCACAGTTGTTGCACGCCCTCATGACGTTCTGAGGGTAAATGTCCTGTCCACACCAATCGCACTCCCACTCATAATCAGCCCACGCGAAATGGGCGAATTGAATTGCTCACACTGGCACGGTCTAATCATGCTGTCTCGACTTCTCTCTGCGTCGAGGGACCGAGCCGACGGCCTCTGCAGCCTACCGAGGTGTCTCACCCAGCAGACCCCAACAGCACTGTGCTTCGACTGCTCCTCCTGCCACACCGCATCCTTGAGGTCGCCCTCGCTCAGCGATCGAATCTGATGTTCCTCCAGCACTCCTCGCTCGTCCACGATCCTGCCTTACGCTCCACGGGCTGCTGCGCGCGCAGGGTCCTCGCGGCCGACAGCCGCGTCCTCCGCCGAGGCTGCGGGCTCGGCCGTGGCGGCCGCCTTTGAGGTCGCCGAGGCTAACACCAGCAGCTTCTCCTCAAACTTCAGGGCCTCCTCCTCCGCGTGCATCTCGGGCTTGTCGCCTCCCTTCTCCGCGGCGCTCCCAGTCGGAACAGCCACGCCGTCGACCCCGGCCGACTCACCGACGTACGAGGCCTGGGACTCCGCCTGAGTGACAGGGTTTTGACGCAGCCTCCCAGCTCCTGCTGCTTTGCCCTCGAACTCGTCTTCCGAAGGCTGGATTGCGCCATCCCTGCCGCCGACCTCCTTGGCTCCGAGACGAGGCCCGTGCTGGGCGCGCCGCAATTCCGTGGGGCTGGCGGACACCAGCGGGTTGGGGATCACCTTCGCGTGCAACGCGACATTGCGCCACAGATTGGTGATGCCGTCCTCATTCTTGATGATGCTGATGCTGATGATGATGCTGATGATGATGAGCATGGTGATGATGATGCTGCTGATGGTGATGTTGTTGATGTTGATGTCGATGTTGACGCTGACAATGCTGCTGATGATGCTGATGCTGCTGATAATGGAGACGCCGACGTCGACGATAATGATGCTGCTGACGCTGATGGTGATGACGATGATGATGTTGAGGAGGAGTATGATGATAACGATGATGACCGTGACGATCATGAGTATGATAATGATGCTGATAATGACGATTGTGATGATGACGATTATGCTAATGACGATCATGATCATGATGCTGATGCTGATGCTGATGCTGATGTTGCTGCTGCCGATGATGATGATGATGATGTTGATGATGATGACGGCGATGATGATGATGATGATGATGATGATGATGATGATGAGGATGAGGATGAGGATGATGATGATGATGAGGATGACGATGATGATGAGGAGGAATGGGTATGCCGAATGTGATGATGACGATGCTTATGCTGATGATGGCGACGCTGGCGATGACGAGGGTGCTGGTGATAATGAGGGTAATTGTGATGGTGATGATGGTTGAGATGTTGTTGTGGTGGTCGATGACGATAATGGTAATGATGATGACGATGTTGATGATGATGACGATGCTGGTGTTGATGATGATGACGGTGACGATGACGGTGTTGTTGATGATGGTGGTGATGATAACGGTGGAGGTGGTGGTGGTGGTGGTGCTGCTGATGATGAAGATCATGATGATGATGATGATGATGATGATGATGATGATGATGATGATGATGATGATGATGATGACCATGATGATGATGATGATGATGATGATGATGATGATGATGATGATGATGATGATGATGATGATTATGATGATGATGATGATGATGACGATACTGATGATGATGACATCATTGATGATGACGCGGGGAATTATGATGATGCTGTTGGTGGTTGTGATGCTGAGGAGGACGTTCAGGTGGTGGAGGATGGGAAGTGCCCGTCCCCTCCCCGGTCTGTCTCTTTCTGTCTCTTTGCTCTGCTGCTCTTTCCGCCTTACGCCGAAAAAGTGAAGGATCGTTGCCGAGTGCCTATGCGTTGTATGTGTGTGTGTGTGTGAGGGGAGCAGACTCCCGATCGCGGCCTCTGCTTCGCTTTCCATGGCTTCTGCGCCATCTCGGGCAGCTCGTGGCCCACCCTGTCCCCGATCCGTCTCCCCCCGCTTTAGGCCTGAGACCACGGCCCCCATGCGCGCACCAAGGTCGACGCGAGGATTCCCCAGAAGCTGAAAGAGGGCCCTTCGGCTGCCATCCAGATCCGCGTGGTCAGCGCCGCCACTGGTCAGGACAGATTGTCTGAAACGGATGCGAATGAGAAGGATGCGGATGTCTATCGGCGGCGAGCGAGGGGGGGAAGTTAGAAGGAAAAGGCCTTCTCAGAAGGCGGCGGGACTTCTCGGAAGCTCTCGCGCCGTCTGAGAAGGTTTCCGTGCCTTCGGGGAAGGTTAAGGCAATTTCGTAGAAGGCCGGGGGAATTTCCGAGCCTTCTGAGCAGGCCCGCTTCTTTTCACTTCTCCCCCGGGCTCGCCGCCGACCAGGATGACCAGTACGGTCATTTACCGGGGGAGATATCGAGAACGCCGGCGGCGCATCACCGGCCGCTCCCTGGGAGTTTGACGCAGCGTCTCGGGGGCCTCTTGGAGGCAGTTTTGAAGCCTCTTCGGCTCCTTTTAGGGGCCCCTGGGGGGCCTCTTGGGGCTTCTTTTGGGCCTCTTTTGGGCTTACTGGGGGCTTCTTGGGGCCCATCGAATGTTTCTTGGGAGCCTGCTGGCGGGGGCCAGCGATGTATACGCACACCCGGAGGGCTTCGCCCTCCGCCGCCGCCCCTTCCTCGGATGGCCTGCGCGGCCGCGCCTGGCTGGCAGGCTGCCTGGTGCTCCTGTCGGTTGGCTGGCTGGCAACGGGGCTGTGTGACTCGCTCGGGCGAAGCGAACTATGCACATGCACCGATCCTGGCAAGGCCCATCCTTGACCCAGGATCGGTGCATATACCTTCCTGGCCAAGGTAGGAGGGCGTATGCACCGATCCTGGGCTCAGGATGGGCCTGGCCAGAATCGGTGTATGTGCATAGTTCTTTTTCCTCTACTTGCTCCCTGAATTGACCTGGGGTCGGAGGATCGCGCCGCATTGCCGATGCATCGGCGATGCATCGGCGATGCGGCTCGATTTGGAGCCCGATTTTCACCGCGCTGGGGTCACCGGTGCATCGCCGACGTCGCCGATGCATCGCCAATACATCGGCAATGCATCGCCGATGTGTCTGCGATGCTGCGCGATCCTTCGACCCCATCTACTCAGACCCCATCGAGGAGGCCTCTACATCAGGCAATTGATTCGGGCTGCTTGTTGGCTGGCCAAGAGAAGACGAGGTACAGCAGCTCGGGGTTGCCGCACTGGCCTAGGGAGCGGATGGAACGGAGGACTCAGGTGAGCACTGGTCGTGGCGTAGCCGACGTGATGGCTGCATCTGGACGTGGTGTCTGCAGCGCTCGCCAGATGCGTGTCTGGCCGGTTGCGGTCCAAAGTCGGGGCGAGAACATGCATCGGCGACATCAGGTTGGTGATAAGTAGCTTGCTGCCCCCGAGCGCAAAGATGAGAGTCTCCTCGGTAAGACTCCACCACGAGGAGAGCTGCGGAAGCGCCTCGGGGCTCGGGCGCTCAGGGACGAACGCCATGTGGAAGCAGGTGACAGCCGTAGTAGTGCTGACAAACTTGGTCGAAGCCAAGGGTGGTGAACATGGTGCGTTAACGTTCAGTGCTCCACTCGAGAGGTGCGACGTGCTCGCATAGAAGACAGCCAGCATCGCACGCATCACGAGGCATGGTACTGGCCCAGGGGGGAGCTTTGCCGTCATGCCCGACGCGAAACTATGGCCAGTACCTGTGGGGTTGGATGGGTCGTGGAAACGTCGTGGCGTTCCCGTGGGCGGATCGCTCCACATCGCGTAGCCTGCAGCTGCTTCTGCCCTCACAGCTGGACCCCACATGTCTCGCACGGTCTGGCGTTGGCCTCATCGTGGCCTGTAAGCGTCCAGGGCGAATTACCCGAAGGCTCGCAGAACAGCCATAAGCACAAGCTGTTTAGGGGACGGAGGGTGCTAGCGTCGAAGAGTTAGGGGAAAGTGCGAATGTGCGTCCACATCGCACTATGCGCAGTCCCATGGATGGCGAGCTGGGATCGCTCCCAGCTCCGTTGCCAATTAGACTTGCGAGTGGCATGGGTGAGAGGTAGAAGACATGGCTGCAATGTTAAAGTGAAAGATAGCAGAGCGTATGTCCTTCCCTCTTCAACAATGTACTAGACGTATGCACGCTGTAAGCTAAATGGCAGCGTGCGCGAGCGTGCTCCTATTTGAGTTTGAAACACCCACAGGGCAGCGGAGCAAAAAGAGGGCACGAGGCGGGCGAAACACGCCCGAAGAGGAGCCCGTCCGAGGAAGAGGAGAAGAGAGGACGAGGAACGAGGGGCCGAACGCCAGAAGCAGAGGCAGGTGGCGGGGGCGGGCCGCCCGAAAAGAAGCCTGCTGGAGGCGGGCGACGCGCTAGAGAACGGAAGCTGGGCCAACGAACCAGCGCTGGGCCCAAGGAGAATGATAGGAGCCAGAAGAGGAACCGATCCGATGATGAAACATACATGAGCCTGAGAAAGGAGGAGGAGGAGGAGGAGGAGGAGGAGGAGGAGGAGGAGGAGGTAGAGGAGGAGGGCGACAAGCAAGGAGGGAGGGTGAGGAGGGCGAGGGCGAGAATGTGTCGGAGGTGGAAGGGTTCCGCTCCAGGTGGCGCGCTCTTGCAAGGAGAGCCCCTGTTTCACTATGTCAGGGACTATGTCCTATGGTCTTGGCATTTTCATTTACACGCATACAGAACAGAGTCATCGTTTTCCTGAATTGGGATATGTGTTCGGGGGCAGGGGGGCACGTTTGCGGCCCCCCCCCGTCGCTTCCTGAGAATTCGGCTCGGGGCTCGAGGCTACGAATCCAATCCTTGTAAATAGCTAAGGGCCCGCGCTCCTCCCGAAGCCTCGAACCCTCGTAAATGACAATGGACGCGCGATCCCGAAACCACCATCCTCCATCAATTACGACACACGCCCGCAACCAGTTCTTCATCGAGGCGGGCTACGACGGATTCATCACCACCTTCAACACCGACCCTTTTCCAGGATGAGGCGTCCAGGGATGCCGCGGGCACCTACTACTGTTTTGCCGCGTCTGCCTGGAAACCTTGCCACACACCGTTCCCCAAGGCACACGGAACCGGTCCAGCCTACGTGCCACACCGCGCGCGGCCCTGTCCACGACCATTTGTCAGCTTCCTACCGGCACGCCGCCGGCTCACTTACTCAACAAGGTAGCAATGATGAGTACGATTGACAGGCAATTTGGGCAGAGTTGCGTCACTCACTTGACAACAAGACCCGTTGTCCCGCGCTCTGGTGCATGCAGTGCGCCTTGGCGTTTGGACGCACGATGCACAGAGTGTGCAGCTTCAGGGGTGAACGTGGTTGGGGTCTTGGTCAAGATGGTGAGAGGTTCCAGGTGTACACCGTGAGTGGGGTCAACGTGATGACAACGAGGAAGGAGTCAAGGTCCTATCGGGTTAGTTTCCCATCGACAGCTGGAGAACTTGTTGGGCCCCTGGCGAGACGCGGCTGCCAGTGTGATATGTCGGAATGGCAGCGGCAGGTCGAGCACGCCATTCCTCCTCGGAGTGGTCGTGGAGCCATAACTCAGGCCTCAGGCGCCCGCTCGGGCGATCCATGCACCGGAGGTACGGCCTCGGCGAGGCGCAGCTGCTGGAAAGCATCGCGAGACGAGAGAACGTCCAAGAGCCGACGAACTATTGCATGCACCAGGATCCTCATGGCGCCGCTCGCTCTTGAGACCCGTGGCGTTGAAATTTTACCGCTTTGAGATTTTCCGTCACTGGGCCGTTTCGGGGCGTTGGGGGGGTTAATTGCGACGTTTTTCGAGGCGTTTGGGGAGCCTCTTTGGGAAGGGTCATTCTGATTCCACCGATTCGATTCGATTTGGACGGCTTTCGATTCTGATTTGCTTCGACTTCGGATTCCGCTTTGGATTCCGATTTCTAAATGGTGGCCTACTGGCCTGCCGATTTCTGCCGATTCCACTCTCCCGACCCGGCTGCCGAATTCCGCCGATGCGCTTCATTTCCATCGCCGATCCGTCTTATATTCGATTCTGGGCTCCCCTGGTCCCGTGGACAGTCGGACGGGGCTAGGACGAGGCTATATTCTTTCTGGAGCGTTCCGGAGCGCTCTGAGAAGGCCGCGGCGTCTGAGACATCCTCCACAACCGCTGGATCTCAGAGATTCTCGATTTATCCTTGTCCTGGCTTCTTCGGTCGCAAATCATGGGAGGAGCCCGTTTCTTTATTGCTTGGGGCATGACGGGCGTCATGGCCCCCGCTCCCCCCCCCCTATGACGTAACGCTCCCCCCCCCACCAGTGCGCTCCGGGCACTGCCGCCGTGCGCATTGGGATCCGCGTAGGTGTCCGCGTAGGAGTCCGCATAGGTGTCTGGTCCGCATAGGTGTCTGGTCCGCAGGCGTTGTCGTCGTCGTCGTCGTCGTCGTCGTCGTCGTCGTCGTCGTCCGTCGTCGTCGTCGCTGGTGGTTCGTCGCTCGTCGCTCATCGTCGTCGTGCGCGCGGACGCGGCTGGAGCCTGTTTTTAATTCCGGGCCGATGACGGCAATCACCTGGGGGGGAGGGGGTCGATGACGTCACGTTTCGCGCCAGCGGCGTCTGGGAATGCTTAGGAATGACGGAGGACGGGTAGCACGAACATGTAGGTGGCGATGTGCGTTACAACGCCTGTGCACATCACAGTGCCAACCAACGTGCACCACAGCGCTTGTGTACACCACACCGCCGATGTACACTACAGCAGACGCGTGCAACACAGCGTCAGTTTGTGCCACAGTGCCTGCGGGCACAGCAGCTCCTGTGTACACCACAGCGCCTCCGTACACCACATCAGCCGTGCGCAACACAGCACCAGTGTACACCACAACGCCTGCGTGCATTGCAGTGCCTGTGTACGCCACGGCGCCTGTGTGCACCACATCAGCCGTGTGCAACACAGCACCATTGTTGTGTATAGAATTTCAGAAGGAATCCTTGAGACAAAATGGAGCGCGCTTGGATTCCAGAGAAAACAATAGAAAACAAATCCTCATGGACGAAGGTGCGCCGCTGGAATCTACAAATCCCCCCGAGTCCGCCCGCATCACCCTAACTCGCATTTGCGTCCAGGAGGCTTCAGCTAAACTGGCCGTCCGAGAACCAAGTGGACCGATTCAATCGACCATTCTGCGGTGCACGCTGAGATGCGCACGTGGGTTGTAACGCCAAGCCGCACGACAAGGGGTAAGAAGGAGGAAAATGAGGAGGAAAAGGAGGAGGAGGAGGAGGAGGAGGAGGAGGTGGAGGAGGAGGAGGAGGAGGAGGGAGGAGGGAAAAACATCGCATTCGATTATCAGAACTTTCCTGGCGTGGCGTTTAGTTGTCCGCAGCAGATCCTGACGTACATGCTCCTTCTACCTGTCCTATGCACGCAGGCGCTGTGGTGTACACCAGCGCTGCGTTGCACGCGGATGCTGTGGTGTAGACAGGCGTTGTGGCGTGCACAGGCGCGTGGCGCACGCAAGCACAGTGGTGTACACAGGCGTTGTTTTGCACATGGCTGCTGCGGTGTATGTACACCAGCGCTGTAGTGTTCCCAAGTATTGTGGTATACACGGGCGGTGCGTTGCACACGGCTGTT